TGGGCATTTCTTATTTCTTTGTGATTAAGGCAACTAAAATCACCAATGTCCATATGTCCGGGCTCTGTGGAAATGTGCTCCACCCCGGTCTGTCCGTTCTGCCTCACTTGCACCCCGTGAGGGATATCTGTTGACGCTCTGACCTCACATATTCCTGTCAGCGTTTCTTCCTCATCGCCCGGTCTCTCGTAAGGATTCCTTGATAAGGCGTCCGCATTGCCGTTGGACCGCCCCGGGCGATATTTTATCTCTAGGTCAAAGAGTGCCAATTCTGCTGCCCATCGCTGTTCGATGGATCCCAACTTTGCTGTCTTTAGGTGACTCAAGGGGTTATTGTCAGTGTATACCACACATTTAGCACCTAATAGATAGTCCCTGAATTTTTCCGTCACAGCCCATTTTAATGTCAAAAGTTCTAGTTTCATGGCGCTGTAATTTGTCATGTTCTTCTCTGATTCCTTCAGAGCTCGACTGGCATAAGCAATAACCCTGAAACCTTGCTTTTGTTGTTGTGATAGCACAGCTCCCAGACCTTTAGAGCTGGCGTCAATTTCTAGCCGAAATGGTTTGTCAAAGTCTGCGTATCCTAATATCGGCGCCTCTGTCAAAGCCTTTTTCAATAGCTTAAACGAGTTCAGGCATTCATCAGTCCATAATTCACCTATCAGTTGTGTTTTACCTTTCTTTTTCTCCTTACTGTGTTTCTTTGTCATTTTGTTTACCAAGTCATGCAATGGTGCGGCAATTTTTGCAAAACCAGGCACAAATTTTCTATAATAGGAAGCAAAGCCCAAGAATGATCTGACCTCTACTGTAGTTGTTGGCTGTTTCCATTCTTTAACAGCTGCAATTTTATCTGGGTCAGTGGCGATGCCATCCGACGAAATCACGTAACCCAAAAAATGTACCGATTTCAGACCGAAGCAGCATTTGTCTGGGTTCAGCTTTACTCCTATCTCCCTAAGACGGAGAAACACTTGTTCTAATCTTTCTAGATGGTCCTCCCAAGTTTTTGAATAAACTAGTATATCATCCAAGTACACCAACATTATTTGAAATAGAAAGTCACTCATAGCACTCTGCATTACTCGCTGGAATGTAGCAGGTGCATTAGTTAGACCAAACGGCATACGGGTCCACTCGTACAGTCCCAGTGGAGAAATAAATGCAGTCTTATGTTGATCGTTGGGGTGCATGGCCACTTGGTGGTAGCCACTAGCCAAATCCAAGGTAGAAAAAAATCTTGCTCCCCCCAACGCATCAAGACATTCATCAATACGAGGCAAGGGGAATGCATCCCTTCTTGTGATCTTGTTCAATTTCCGGTAATCACAACACAGTCTTATCTCCCCTGACTTCTTTTTTACCACTACTATCGGTGCCGCATACGGGCTAGTGCTGGTTGTAATAATTCCCTTTTTTAGTAGATCGTTCAGGTGTGCCTTCACCGCAGAGTAGTGACTCGGTGGTAATCTTCGATAAGGTTGCGCCACCGGCTTGTCTTGTAGTAAGGGTATCTGGTGTTTTATTACTTCCGTGTAACCCAAATCACCCTCGTACGAGGCAAATATATCCCTGTACTTATTCAACAATTCATTTAGTTTTGGGTCCTCAGTTTCCGGGAATGTATATGATCGGCCATCCTCTTTCTTCACCTCGGCCGTCACATTGACCGACCTAATTGTTACTTCATTACTGCTGGTATTGCTCAGTTCGATGCACTGTGCCGACCTTTGTACCTCGACGTTCTGTGGTACTCCTACCAGAGTATTAGGCGGTATAAAAATTTCCTCATCCAAAACATTTGCCACTAATCCTTGAACTAGTCCATTTTCCGCTGATGTGTATGTCCGCAGTAACACGACGCCTGCCCTCAGTGCGGCGCCACATGGTTCTATCATCACATCACCATTCACGCTTCTATCCCCAATTTGTAATGTGATTGCCTTGACCGTGTTTGCCGGGACTGATATCCTTCCTCTGGTCTTGGCAAACCTGGCCAACCTGGATCCCCGACCTGGTGTGGTCGATCCGACAATATTTGTAAGAAATTCTGGCAACTGGCCAAGAATATTCATGCCCAACAGGCAAGGTATATTTGACACATTTGTCTCTAGGTTGTGTTTCGTAACGAACACCCCAACCTGCTTCAACCTATGTCCCGCCACCACGACATCCGCCAGAAAATAACCACAGTAAGGAATGGTTAGTCCATTAGCTGCCGTCAGGCGCATGCATGTGTCAGACCTCAACCTATGGTCTTTTCCTTTCATCCATTTGGTGTAAAAATTTTCCGTGATTGTCGTCACCTGGGAGCCTGTATCCACAATTGCCTTCACCGCGATGTCCCCAATCGTAATCACCATTTCGGGACAGACTCCCATCATTTTGCTTCTTGGGCCATAACCTCGCCCCTCTGTAGCCTGGCCCTGCCTTACAGAGGACGACCGTTTCCCTGGCAGTACCGTGCCATATGTCCGGGTTGTGAACAGGACAAACAAATTGGTCGACCGTCAGCCGTCCACCGGAGTGATGGACCGGCGGGTCGCGGCCGTCCAACCTGTCTCTGTTTTGTACCGTTCTTTTCCTGATTCTCAGCTGTTGACCTGCTTTCTAACCTCTCCAATCTTTGGTTAACCTTATCCAGGTGGGCCAACAGTTGAGCCATCATGGTTTCCACCGTGCCGGTCCCCGTGGGTGGGGATTGTTTCTGTTCCGGCACCGAGACTTTGTCCACCGAACAGTTCGATTGGTCCTCATCCTCGGACCTGCGGATCGCTGAGTTCCTGACCTGAAGGAAGGTCAACTGCGGGTCTTTGTGGACCTCCTCTTTCAACTCTCTCCTTAAGATCGGGGTTGCTAGCCCCTCGATGAACTGGTCCCTCAGTAGGCGTACATCAATGTCAGGTGTTTTGCCCTTTACCGAATCAAAGGCCCTGTTTATTCGGTGTGAATACTCCATCACACTCTCCGCCATTCTCTGCTTTAAGCCTACGAACCCCGTTAGCAGTTGCGATCCCGACCGTCTCTCCCCAAAGGTCTCCATAATTAGATCCAACACCTTATCTGGATCTGATTGGACGGTTTTATCGTGGCATTTGACCTCTGCCCTAACCGTCTCTCCTATACTGCCCATCAGCAGTCTTAATCTTTCCTCTGGTGACATGTTTCTCGAGGCCCAGGCCGCTTTGACCTCCTCACTGAACCTGTTGGTTAAAGTTGGATCACCGTCCCCGTAAAATTTGTTAATGTGGGACTCTCTGGGCAGGACCACAATATGGGTCTGCTTCTCGTCCAGAGTAGACATTTTATTCCTTTAGTAAAAAAAAAGAGTTCTTTCTTACCGTGTGTGTATGAAAAAATTTTCCTCGTTCCTCAATTTTCACTGTTCCTGAATGTCCGAATTCACACACACACTAAACACAGTTATGAACTAGGTTGACTATGGGTGCCTAAAGCGGCAAGTCTCGTTGAATTCATCCTGATCGCAGCGCCAAATGTAACGAGACTTATCCTGCTCGCAGAGCCAAATGTAACGAGTCCCCGAGTCTATCCTGCCGACAACGCCAAATGTAACGAGTCTCTGGCTACCCTGCCGACAACGCCAAATGTGACCTTCCCGAGTCTAACCACTCATTCCACACAACATTGACCACAGCATAGATACTCGAAGATGCAGGTTCATTATTGATCCTTTTATTACATGAATCAAAGAATGCTTCACAATAATATAATGAATCAAGAGAGATGTTTCACAATAATAGTCTGAATCAACGGACCCCCAACAGTCCTCACTAGGCTTCATCTAACTGAATACACATGTCTAACGTCCTTCTTAACACAATATAACCAACTTGATACTGCCACACAGACTCACTGATCGAAAGCGAGCGAGAAAGACCGAGAGACTGACGGACTGACTGACAGACCTTCTGAGAGACTTCCTGAGAGACTTCCTGAGAGACTTCCTGAGAGACTCGAGCTCAGCCGTCGCCTTCCTTATATCCCCTTCATAATCGTACTCATATTCGGTCCTATCATAATCGTAATTGTAATCGATTCTAATCGTTACATCAGACTGTTAATTACGCCGCTTCTGTCGTACAGTCCGATTTTAATAAGCCACCTGCATCCTGTCACATCAAAGTTGACAGACCGTCCTTCGTATCGCTTCCCGAGATATTACGCCTTGGCATCAGCCAACACCTGCACTGTGACGTCAGACTGTAACACGTTATGTCTCTTGGTAACTTCCCCTAGTTACATATATATATATATATTTATATATATATATATATATATATATATATATATATATATATATATATATATATATATATATATATATATATATATAAAATGATGGAAAAAATTGAACCTTACCCATGAGACGATCCTGGCTAAGCCACTGCTCCTGTGCCATGCAGTGTTATTCCAGACTTTTTTCTCCGGGGAGGGGGGGGGGCTTGATATTTTTTGGGGGGTGGACAACATTTTACGAGGGGGTGGGGGCGGACGCTGGTAAAAGTATATTTTTCTATATAAATTCCATTTCATTCGGGAGGGGGGGGGTAGACTTTCTTCGGGGGGGGGGGGGCTTTGGTTTCATGCTTGGCATGTGTCAAATACTATTGTTATAGTAACACTGATGAGCGTTAATCCATTGACAGAAATATTATATTCAGTGTTCAATCTTAAATAATGCAGATCATATTCCTTTGCTATAAATGCAACCCGTATTATAATTTTTTGACTTAGCAGGGTAAAAAATGTTTTCGAATCGATATCAGTTATATCCTTATAATATATTAATAAAAACATATTAACTAACAGAGAATGAACACAGACAGTGATAATCCAATACGGGTTGATACATCAATAGAATGTTTGTTAGCCACGTATTAGTGAGCACGTATCCAATGTTCTAGTTTAGAGATTATCTTCACATTGATAGAATGTGGTGACGTGTATGTTGTAGTAACATAGATGACACAGTTTAGTAGCTGCTTGTTTGTTGTGTTTGATTTGAGTCAGCCATTACTTACCCAGTGAGCAGTAAACTCTGGTCTAAAATGTCCACGCGATTTGTCTTCGTATCCTGCCTATTCTGGTTGAATACACACATCACTGTACAAGATTCTAGCGGTGAGTTAAAATATTTAAAGTCTGGTCAAATATTTTTCATCTTCTTTCGTCTATGGGCATTAACTACATTTGTTGATGTGGGTACAAGCGCTAACGTGTGAGTTTTATATTAATAAAACATAAGAACTTAGTTAACACTTGAACAATCGCTACAGCTTGTGTAGTATGCATAACAAATCAGTACAGCGCCTGAATTTAGACTGGTAGGTATATTTTTAATGAGCGCTGCATGTTTGGGTCGAACCTCAAGCACTTAAAACTTTCTTGGGGGAGTAGGGGGGTGGAAAAATTTCCGTTAGGGGGTCAGACACTGGATATAGTGTTTATTTTATTAAAAAAATATATTTTTGAAATTTAGTACGGGTTGGGGTGAAGATGGGGTACGGAATAGACGTTCTTCGTGAGAGGGAATTGTCTCCCTTAAGAGAAGAGTGAAAAATCTGCGATCTGCAAGGCTTAAGAACCTTGCTCCAGATGTATATGTTTGCATATATTAGTTAGACACCCGTAGTCTAGTCCTGTAAACAAGTCTGGCCTGTTCTCTGCCGAAGGACAGTTTAATCATCGTTCTTGCTTGAACAAAATGACTCTAAGGAAGTTTAAATTCACGTATATTTTTAAGAGGGCATTCAGTTTTTAAAAAATGCATTCATATAGTATTATAATATAACTTTCTGTCTATAGTGAGTGCCAACAACGGAAGATCAAAACGTCATATTGTTGATGAATTCCTGACCACTAACGCGTGCGGGATTTGCACCAGCTCCCTGCCCAGACCAGTGGTCACTCTGCCAAGTGGATTGGACGTGATGTGTGACACACAGACAGACGGCGGAAGGTGGACGGTGATACAGAGAAGATTCAACGGATCAACAGATTTCAATCGGGACTGGAATGAATACAAACATGGGTTTGGTGAAGTTGACGGTGGGGAATTTTGGCTGGGTAATGAAAACATCTATCGTCTGACGTCTTTAGCGAAACACGAACTGAGGGTCGATTTTAAATATAAGAAGAAGGACTACTACGCTAAATATTCAAGCTTTAGTGTGGGTAGTGAACGGGAAAGTTATAAGTTAAAAGTTACCGGCTTTTCAGGAAATGCCGGAGACGCTTTGGTAAACCACAACAACTGCAAGTTCAGCACTTACGACAAAGACAACGACATTGCCCGCTATCAAAACTGCGCCGCGAAATACAACGGGGGCTGGTGGTTCCACACGTGCCACAACGGCAATCTAAACGGGGAGTGGGGAAACATAACCTACGGCAGAGGTGTCATCTGGGAACCGACAACAAATCAACATAGTTCGGCAACTTTTACTGAGATGAAAATAAGACCGATCTAAGAAAAGAATGCGTTTCTCTTTTGACGTCATGAAATAAAAGATGCTATAATCTTCACTAGAGAATTTGTTCGTTATTCTTAATAACGTTTTTTTTTTAAAAATACATTTCTATTCTTTTTCTGCAAATCTTAAGCATAGTATTAAAAGTACTTTTGCCCCATTATTGTTGAAGATATACCATTCGTTTTAGTCATCTGCTTCTCCATAACAAACAAGATTTTTACTTTCTAGTATATACGTAGTATAGAGAAAGTATTGTAATCGTGCAAAAAAAAAAATCGAGATTTTTACAAATCTCGACGTTTTACACCTCACTGATACGGAAAAACATAATTTTGCAATCTTGTCCGTATGTCTGTGTGTCTGTGTGTGTGTGTGTGTGTGTGTGTCTGTCTGTGTGTGTGTGTGTGTAAACACGATTACTTGAGTACCGTTACAGCTAGGTTGATGAAATTTCATATATAAGTATTTTATCAAAATAGATCCGTATCAACTTTTGAGCGATTTCCGATAACCGGAAGTGGTACTTTTTCTACTTTGAATTTTTCAAAAGCCTATAACTTGAGTACTATTTCAGATAGATAAATGAAATTTCGCATGTAAGTAAAAGATCTAATTTTCTACCTTCTGTTAAATTTTGAGTAATTTCCGTTGACGGGAAGTACTAATTTACGCTATTTCCGATTTCTCGAAAACGCATCTAAAGTTATAAAGTACTAATAATATTGCGCACCATTATGAACATCTTTATTCGGCGTTCACTTGGTGTGCAATACTTTTTTCTATGAGATTCTATTTTATTTTAAAAAGTTTATGTATTTAAAATGGATTAAAAATCATAACTATATCCCGAGTTCCCATCCCCTGTAGTTTTATATAAGAATATTCGAGAAAGTTTAGGGGAGATCACTCCCGGTTCATTTTACTTAGATTTAAATTTATTTTAGTGACCCCATATGCTGATATTTTCAAGTTTCTAAAAATAATTTATCACTGCAACCTTAATTATACTAGAGGATTAAGTATAAGCAGAGGCATAGCGAGGGCGGGGCGGTGGGTGCGGACCGCACCGGGTGACACCATTCACGGGGGTGACACCATGGCAAAAAAATTGCAAAATGTACAGAAGAAAAATGCTTTTTGCCACTTCCATAAATGATTTATTAAAGGTAAATAATCTTTTAAGTACAAATCGGGGTACAAATAGGTGGGACACCATATATATACTAGGCATGCTGCCCAGCTTCGCTTAGGCTTTCGAAAACATTGCGAATTTTAATGCTTAATTAATTCGCCCATATAAAGCGCCGGTCAGTCGAGGTCAGTTTAGACCCCCTCATCGTAGACTTTTCGGCCAACCGGCCCCCGTGTTCTGTCGCCCCAAGGCAAGATCCTGCCAAATTTGAAGCGCCTGCGGCGCCGGGAAGTGCCCTATCGGGCACCCGACAACTTAGCTTTATAGATCAGCTAGATCTAGATCTAGATCTAGAATCTCTAGATCTATATGATCTAGAATCTCTAGATCTAGATGATCTAGAATATCTAGATCTAGATCAATATCTAGATTTAGAATCTCTAGATCTAGAATCCAAATAGATAAAATAATTTTTTTAAGTTTAGGCCGAGAAAATCGTATTGTATAAATTTTATAGCGTACATAGCTCTAAATCATATTTGAATGAAATAGTTCATTTCTTTTTATTCTAAACTCGGAAGATGACGTCATCTTTTATATATTAGGATATATATATATATATATATATATATATATATATATATATACTTTGCTTCCTGGGGGGGGGGGGGGGGGGGTGACACCACGAAGTGCCGCACCGGGTGACACCTGACCTATCGACGCCACTGATATAAGAACTAATGTAAGAATATCAGTAAAATATTATTACACCATTCTTTAACAATAATTACCATTACAATATTTAGTATAGTTATTTGGTTGTAACTTCAAAAGATAAATAATCAAATATTACACCTCTTCCACTTTCATTTTGATTCTCCCTAGGTCTACTTTTTATCACACTCAGAACTGTTCTGCAACATAATATATTTGTGTAACATAATGTATCGCTTGTTCTTGACGAAAAGAGATCCTGTAAAAATAAAAAAAACAACGTCAGCACTAATACAATCTCTAATAATACATATACTTCATGGTTTTATAAATATTTTTTTTCACTATTATAAAAATTAGTAAATCACAACTACCTATAATAATATTATTGTGTGTCTACCGGTTTGTACTAAATAATAAGTAGGCTAAGTATATAAGAATATGCCTAATATTATTATTATTATTTTTCTTCAATAATATTTACTTTCTAAGCTTATTAGATCCAAACACTGTCTATATTAATAAATTATATACAAGTTATTCTAAGGATCATCTAGTAAACATTAGTCTAATTAAGTCTAATACTATATTATTATTGTTATTCATTATGATATTTATTTTCTTCAATAGTAGCACCACACTGTGCTTCCTCTATTATAAGCTTACTAGCCGTCGGTACCCGTTACACGTGAATTATAGGTCTATATATTTTTATGTTATTCATTTTTTAGAAGAATATTTTATAAAATAGTTGTTGGTCAAAACGCAGGTCTAACGATATTAGTGACAAAGCAAAGAAATAACTAAATAGCTAAAAGTCCGACACATTTAAATTAATATAGGCTACTAATATCTATATAGGAAAAATAAAACCAATTATATACATAATTAGTCAACACAACACCATATTAAATGCACACATTGATTAAATGACTTAAATGATTCTTTTAAAAACCCGGCTTTTCAATGGTATTTATGTTGTTATTTAAAGTAATTTGTATTAGTTTTGGCCGAGGAAATTGTATAATATTAATAAATTAGGTCTCGATAAGTAAATCTATAGATCTAAATCAAATTTTAATGAAATAGTTCATTTCTTCGTATTCTAAAATAGGAAGATGACGCCATTAGTTTTGTGCACTTTCCGTACTTCAAACATATAACATGTGACGTCATCGATTTCGGCGTTCTTGTCACAACAATAAACACTTTTTCGGTTACATAATTAAAACTATTTTTCTACATTCAAATACGCCTTTATTTTTTATTTTTCTTCTTTAAATAAAATTTTGTTTATACATTTAAAACATGTACCATATTATTTTCAACAAAAGTCAGTATTAAGTTCTTCATATATCGCTGAAGATACTGATATGATAGCATGTGAAAATATTTTGCGGATAGAGAGAGATAAGTGCGCACATGGTCTTTTATATATTAGGATTACAATTACACACTACTGTTACTATTGCTACAAATTTCGACACTATTTTTCTTCTATAATGTACATATTATTATTGTAAAAAATATAAAAGAAAAACAAAACTAAGCTAGTCTAAGAACTAACAGGTAATTAGAGTCTACCTCATAGAGGTAAGGAATTGTTCAATCAACAAATTATTATACTATAGAAAAGCCACTATACAGTAGTCCCAGCTGATGTCAAGGTCGTACCATTGCATAATGTATCAAAATTGCTACATACCGTAATTGGATATTATCAGCACAAATATAACAAAATAGTATACAAACAACTTATTTTTAGTCAAAATTTCTCGCCTGAGATTGGGAAATATTATTTTAAGAAGAAAAGCAAAGCCTGTGAATTGTAGTTAATTCTAAAAAAAAAAAAAAAAAAACAAAAAAAAAAAAAAACATTTCAATCGCAGCTGTCCGAAAGGTTTTGAAAATGGACTCAAATTCGAATTGTGTGGAACGAAACACAAATATAGTCAGTTTCGGGTATGAATTTGAGTCAAAAGTGATCAAGCATGACTAAGGCACATCAAAAACTCAGATTTCAACATTTTTTAAGATTCTGCGGGGGGTTATTTCCCTTTGTAGCAAAAATGATACAATATGAAACGAAGCGTATCGACACTTTGATTAGTGAGATGGGCATTTCGTCCCGATTCCGGGTTTTAGAAATGATAGTGATGTTGCCATAGCGATAAAAATCGCATACCTCTTTGAACATTGAACACAGTAGGACATACACACTACATACACTTTGCATGATACTCTAATCACGCAAATCTAAATAATAGCATAAGAAAATAGTTTTTTTCATTGATTTCAATAAAACATGTTTTAAAGAAGAAAAAAAAAGAAAAATATTAAGAATATAAATTTCAAAACTTATTATCACCAATCGATACGACAATTAGGCCCAAATGAGAAAGGGTTTGTTAAACATGAATTTGAAGTTTGCTATGAAATATAGGGCGAACAGATATTAAGCAATTAATAATCAGGCGTGACGTTTTTTGTAAGAAGTATTGCATGTGAATGTAAGAAGTTTAAATTCTTAATAGCTAGTAAAGAAGTAAATTTCCTTTTTCAAACCTGACGGTCCATGTGACTGGCGTAGTAGAGTTCACTTGTTTCTGTGACCTCGGCAAACGAAGAGATAGTGTGGTCAGCACTATGCACAGCTACTTTTACTTTTCCTAACGTAATTAGGTACCCATAAGAGCTGGGTGGACTCAAAGACGACTATGAAGAAATGAACCCGGATTCGAACTCGAGACTCTTAGGTTAGCAGTCCAGCGCTCTAGCTCTAGAACACGGCGTCCTATAATCATTAATGTTCTAAAAGTCATCAATAAATACACTTTAGATGTAAAATAAACCGGGAATGATCTCCCCTAATCTTTCTCGAATTAATAGTTTCGCTGTCTGTCTATGTATCTATCTATGTATCTGACAAGAACGCTCTAGAGAAAACACAAGCAAATTAAAAACTTTCATAGTAAGACGGAAACGAAATATGACGTCACTTTGGAGCATATAGTAGAAAATAATCTCAAGCCGGAGAGTGCATACTGTAATATGACGTCATTGATTCTCGAGTAAACATTGAATTAAAAAGCCAATTTTGCCTAATCTTAAAAGTAGATTGCGTGAAGAGTTTCTTTCATACAATTCTTCGGGTAGGGGCGAAGCCCATCCCCCGCGTAAGAACGTCTAAGCCTACCCCCATGCCCAACTCAAAAGAAATGTCGTCGTAGATACTCTATAATAAAATTACAGCCTAATTCACGTGCCTAATCTAAAAAGTGGTTTGCGTGCAGAGTTTCTTTCATGCGATTCTTCGGGTAATGGCTAAGCGCGACACCAGTGTTTGTTTCAGACTTTTTCCTCCCCGGAGGGAGGAACTTTTTCTAATCTAAAAAGTGTTTAACGTGCACAGTTTTTTTTCATGCATCTCTTCCGGTAGAGGCGAAGCCCCGCTCCCGTTCTTCCTTTAGTTTGTATGATCTACAAATGCGACCAGTGTTTCTTTCAGACTTTTTCCTCCCAGAAGAGGGGTGGGGGAACTTGAAATTTTCGGGGGCGGGGGTAGAATTTTCTGGGAGGGAGCGGACACTGGAAAAAGTATCTAATTATATTTCGTTGAATGGGATGGTAGACATGTTTTGGTGTGTGTGTGTGTGGGGCGGGGGGGGGGGGGGGGGAAGGGGGGTTGGTTTTAGTTTAGAGAAAATAGACAGCACTGTCAACCTAGCGCCCGTTGTATCCTTCCTCAACGGGCCATTTTTCTCGTCTATAATAATAGTTTCGCTGTCTGTGTATGTATCTGTATATCGGTATCTATCTATCTATGTATCTGACAAGAACGCTATAGAACTATAGTGAAAACACAAGCAAAATAAACACTTTCATAGTAAAACGAAGACGAAACATAACGTCACATTGAGCATATAGTAGTCTAAAGCCGGGGTTGTGCACACAATAATATGACGTCATTGATTCTCGAGTAAACATTAAATTAAAAAAAGGCCAATTTTGTCTAATCTTAAAAGTGGTTTACTTGCACAGTTTCTTTCAAATAAATGACGTCATTGAGACTCCATAATAAAAACACTGACATTACGGCCCAAATTATGTGTCTAATGTTATAAGTGTTTTGCGTGAATAGTTTCTCTTCTAGTAGGGGCAAAGCCCCTTTACCCCCTCACCCACCCCCAACCCCCACGGTAGAACGTCTATTCCCCACCCCCCCCCCCTTCCAAAAAAAAGGCATAATATAATTTATAGAGAAAATATATACTTTTACCAGTGTCGTCCTTCCCCGACCCGTCGAAATTCAAGTGCCCCCCCCCCGGGAAACACTGTCAGCTTGAGTAAAATTTATATCGTTCGAAAGTAGGAAACAGGTCTATATTATAGAAGAGGGCTCTACCTTTTGTATGAGCTTTGTTTGTATGAGCTACAAATGCGACCCGTGTTTCTTTCCGAGTTATTCCTCCCCAGAAGGGGGAGGGGTTTTTGAAATTGTCGGTGGTGAGGGTGGGCAAAATTTTTTGGAAGGGGGCGGACACAGGTAAAAATATGTTTTCTATAAAAAGTATATTTCGTTGAATGGGACGGTAGACGTGCTTTATAGTGTGTTTGTGGGTAGGGAGGATGCTCGGGTCAGAGCCCCCCCCCCCCCCCTCACCCCACCTAAATGCGACTTACTTTGTATTTGAGATTAGGTGGACGGTTTAGGGATTTGACTTCGACTATGTTTAGTATAAATGTGCAGTAACTACGTGTAGATCAAGCTTAAATCCGGTTAAAATGCAGATTCTGGATAAAAATCCGTTTTCAATGACATTTTTCGTTTCCGGTTAAATTTGAAGTTTAGGTGGTGATTTTCTTTTTGATTTCGAGTTAAAGAAAAAAGACACCACTATCAACCTAGCGCCCGTTGTATCTCTCCCTCAACGGGCCATTTATCTCGTTCTTATATACCATTACTCGGGATATAGACAATATTTTAAATCCATTTTTATTACATAAACTGTTTAAAATAAAATAGTATCTCGTAGAAAAAAAAGAATTATGCATCAAGTTAACTCTAAACAATATGTTTATAATAGTGCACAATATTATTAGTACTTTGGGGGGTCGGCGTGGTCGAGGAGAGACAACTCCTAAATCAAACAACTGCTGCCTTGTAGTTTGTTCTTGGTTGAACAAAGGCTATGGAAGCAAGTCCAAAAAGAAAAGCAGGCTGAAATCGGAGTCAATGGCCTCAATGGCGCATAACCAGTTGACACGTAACGCTTAATTGTGTTGGAGGCGTGGTCGAGTCGGCAAAAAAGCTCATGGTTGATAAATTCAAACAAAGTCTCGAGTTCAAACGCACTGGCAGATAAATCTCGATCCCCTTCAACACTAATAATTAAGAACGAAGAAGAAGATTAGTACTTTATAAATTCACATGCGTTTTTTTTTTTTTTTTTTTTTTTTTGAGAAATCGGAAATAGCGTAAATTACGTCAAAATTTGACAGAAGACAGAAAAAAATTCATAAAAAACGTTTTAATAACAAGCTTTTATGTAATAATGCACTAAAAAGTAGAAAATAAATTATAGACTACTATTTAAATAACTATAAAGAAAAGCGTGGGTCACTTTAGTATCTATTGGATACCTTTACTAATGTTAAGGAAGACACCCACGCTTTTCTTTATAGTTATTTAAATAGTAGTCTATAATTTATTTTCTACTTTTTAGTGCATTATTACATAAAAGCTTGTTATTAAAACGTTTTAATAACAAGCTTTTATGTAATGATGCACTAAAAAGTAGCAAATAAATTATAGACTACTATTTAAATAACTATAAAGAAAAGCGTGGGTCACTTTAGTATCTATTGGATACCTTTACTAATGTTAAGGAAGACAGAGAGAGAGACAGAAGACAAGATTGCAAAACTATGTTTTTCCGACTTAGATATGTGTATAACGTCGAGATTTGCAAAAAAATTGTTTTTTTTTTTTGCACGATTACAGTACAATACAATCTATCCTTCGTATACGAGAAAGTAAAAAAAAAATCAGGAACCAAATTGTTCTGTTGTACATTTTTTTGTTTTGTTGTGCAGGGGCATGAATTTATTTAAACACATATTAAAATAATTAGCAAATAATAATCTACATTGTGTATATGGCGGGTACAACATTTTTCTTATTAATGAAGGCAGTTTTTTGTTATGTATGGGTATGTGTTCGCCTGTACGTGAGTGTATATGTGTTCTGATTGTGTTGTGTATATTTGTGTTTTGTAACTATGTACTTATGTATGTGTTCAATTTATAGGCGTCCTGTGAGTACTTACGTGTGTAATTTTGATTTATGCGTGTGATCTCGTATTTTGAATGTTTACGTGTGGGTGTTTGTGTATTGTGTTTATGTATGTGTGGTTTTCGCATATTGTGTACGTGAGTGTATCTCATTTGTTGTGATTGTGTACGTGTGAATTGCTATTGTGAGTGTACATGGTTTTGTGTTTATATTTCACAGTAGTATAAATTATAAATAAATTTCTTGTATTACAAAAACTTGTTATAAATCACGGATTGTCTCTTCAGATAAGAACTAAATTTATGTTACACGTTGGACATTTGGCAAATCCTATTATGGCAGTAGCAGGGATTAGCTTTAAACCACATACATAAACTAACATTCCGTGTTAAATCTTAAATTATACAGGTACTATTCTATTTCAACCCGTATTACAAGTTCACGCTAATCGTCTTGAAAAAATGGCTTTTTATTCATTTCACTAAATTGACATCAGTTTCAACTCCATAATAACAACATATTAAATTTCAGTACATGACCGCAAGAGGTGACAATCTAATGCGGGTTGATACATGAATAGATATTTTTTGGGTAATGTGGTGACGTGTCTACGGTGTGGAAACATAGATGACACAGTGGCGTAGTATTTCGCTTGTTTGTTTTGTGGTTGATTCGCCATGAGGAAAGGGTGAAAAAATTAACAAATTTTAATATATGAACTGTTTAATTTTACTTCAGAATAGGAGCTTCGCGAAGTCATTTCAATTTGTTGGTCATAGAACTTGGTGGTCCAAAAACATTCGTATCTGCTCACGAAATCGGTTCATTACAAATATTGTAAATAAAGTATTAGAGCCTTTTGATGAGGACTGTGTAAAGATTATCAAATAAATAAAAAGGTTAAAAAAAAACGTTGCATTCGTTGTTTGTCTCACGGAAATCTAGAGAAAGATAAAATATGCATCGTTCGAAGATTCGATACCAAAAAATCCACTGTATCTTCCATGTTTTAACGTAATGTGTAACGCTATGTCTTGCACGTTGTTGTTACGTCTTTTGTGTAATAAATATCTTAACGATCTCCCTCGAAACTGTAAACTTTGTGTAGAGTGCAAGTTATACGTTTACATCTGGCAATAACTGGGACGGAATATTGTGATCCATTTATTCAGGGTAATTAACAACAATACGGTACAAAGATTTGAAGATTGTACACTCATTCTCAAATATATTTGTGCGGTTAAATTGTGTGTTTATAATATACATTTCGGTAAAAATGTGTCCATTCGCCTCAACAATTTTACACAAGTATTCAATTTCGCTACGTAGCCTACTTAAATTAGAAATATTAAGTTAGATGAAACCTTAAAGTTCTATGGAAGTAATATATATATATATATATATATATATATATATATATATATATATATATATATATATATATATATATATATATGTGTGTGTGTGTGTGTGTGTGTACCTGACCATGTAGCCCGCCCATGGTTTACAAAAGGCCACAAAGTCTTGTGTATAAAACCAGCGAGTTAGCTGAGTCAACCATTTCTTCCTCGATTAGCTTTAAGTGCTGGTGAAAATGTTCACAAATTTATCATTTGTTCTCTGCCTTCTCTGGATGTTTGCTGTCATTTGTGCTCAAGATTCGAGTGGTCAGTCCTGTTTTAATATTTTTACAAGCTTTTATTTAGCTCGCAAACTTCTATTAGTTTGTGGGTTTGTGGCAAATCTTGGAACTCAATTTTGACCCACTTTTAATGCAGCGATTTCGTTCAAGTTTTCCGGAAATGTTCCACTTCGATGACAATACAAGTCTATTTTGTCTATTAAATTAGTCATTAATAATTGACTAAACGGTTTCGAAACTAAGGGGAGATGAAATAACTCTATAGATTACTATAGTTAAAATAACAGAAAGGGATATAACTAGTTAGACGCGATCACCCTAACAGTCTGGTGAGCTGTGGTTCACGAGAATGTTTAAAATCGTAGAGCTGATCGGTCTAGTGAAGGCTATTAGGGGCTGATAGTAAAGTGTTTAAGTGATTTGAAACTAAGGTGAGGTAGCAAGAATAAAGATTATTCTTCGCTTTAAGTTCAAATGATGACACTTAGAAATTGTGAAGGTTAAGTCAAGCTTTATCTATATACTACTACAAGCGAGAAGTTTGTATATTTTTATATGTCTGGTTACGTGAGAGCATTTCCACTATGTGAAGAACTGTAAAATACGTATATATGTAGAAAATATGTTCTTTTTACAAGTTTTTTTACAAGCTTTTATTTAACTCACTTCCTCTGTCTGTCGTCAGTCGTCAGTCTAGACCGAAACGCAGGAGTGAAAATTCGGACCCTTCTACTTGACCGATACGATTCACATTTGGCACGTGGGTCAAGACATGAAGACAATGCAATCTGAAACTAAATTTGACTTAATTGGATGCCTATTTTTTTTTTTTATGAATTAATTAAAATTTGGACCGAATTAGTAGGCGTGTCTTGCCAACCACTCCACACGCGTCATCACGTTCAATAGCTGCGCCATCACAGTACGTTCAATAGCTGCCCCATCACGTTCAGTAGGCGCGCAATGGTTTTTAGTCATGTAACTCTATTGTAAATAAAACATGTAAAGTACTGAAAAAAAATTCATAAAAAACGTTTTAATAACAAGCTTTTATGTAATGATGCACTAAAAAGTAGAAAATAAATTATAGACTACTATTTAAATAACTATAAGAAAAGCGTGGATGTCTTCCTTAACATTAGTAATGGTATCCAATAGATACTTAAGTGACCCACGCTTTTCTTTATAGTTATTTAAATAGTAGTATATAATTTATTTTCTACTTGTTAGTGCATCATTACATAAAAGCTTGTTATTAAAACGTTTTTTAACGTTCTAATTCATTAATATTAGTTTAACCCATTGGCGCAGCAAGGTCGAGTGTCACCCGGTGCGGCATTTAATGGTGTCACTCCCAGAGGCGTAGCCCCGGGGACACACTTTCAATTTTCGATTTGCACACCCCCCTCAAATTTTCGATTTGCACCCCCTCAAACTTTCGATTTTCACCCCCCCCCCCCTCCAAATTTCAATTTGCACCCCCCCCCCTTCAAACTTTCGATTTAAGTGGAATTATCATTTTTTTCTATATATTTTGCTATTTTTTGCCTTGGTGTCACCCCCTAAATTGTGTCACCCGGTGCGGTCCGCACCCCCCGCTGGGCCTCTGGTTTAACCTCACCTTTAATAATGTATTCATCTATTATTCAAATGAGGTTCGAGCTCAGAAAATATTATAGGAATAAATGTTTTTTTTTTAAAAGACAAAAACATGTAAGCTGAGGTGTGACTTCTTTTTAGATGTGAATGATAAGGCTGCCTGCCTATCGAGACTTGGCGGGACACTGGGCACGTAAAGTAGAGTTCGGCAGGTGAAGTAGAGTTCGGTAGGTGAGGTAGAGTTCACCTCAGTATAAGAAGGGATAGTGTGGTCAGACCTATGCTCAGCCGAATCATCGGTGTTTGGGGACAAATACATGTCTGAAATGTGATGTCTTTTTGAATGTGGGGTCATTGTTTTTTGAGACGATGTGTGATAGTATGGAGGTGAAGGAAAAGAAAAATCGTCAAATAAACGTAACTTCCTTTATGGATGAACCCCTAAACCCACAATTATCAAAGGATAAAGGGTAGTCTAGTACATAATAAAGCACGAACACTTAGAAAGATATTTTTGCTTTTTTTAAAAAGCAATATAAATTAAATGAAATAAATATTATAACAATAAAACTTTTTCCTATAGTCGATGCCAACAACACCAGATCAAAACGTTCCAGTGTTGAGGAACTATTTACCCTAAACTCCTGCAAGGGCTGTGCCAGTACCGTGCCCAGACCAGTGGTCACTCTGTCAAGTGGACTGGAAGTAGTCTGTGACACAGAGACAGACGGAGGAGGATGGACGGTGATACAGAGAAGATTCAACGGACAAACAGATTTCTATCGCGGCTGGTGGGAATACAAGTATGGGTTTGGAGAATTGGATGGCGGTGAATTCTGGCTGGGAAATGAAAACATTCATCGTTTGACCATAAAGAAACGACACGAGCTGAGGGTTGATTTAAAATACAACAACACAGACTACTACGCCAAGTATTCAAGGTTTCGACTGTTTGGCGAGCCGGAAGGTTATGCTTTACAAGTCAGCGGGTTTTCAGGAAATGCTGGAGATTCTTTCGAATACCATAAGAACAGCATGTTCAGCACTTTCGACAAAGACCGTGACAGCAGCTCAGAAAACTGCGCTTATAGATTCCATGGTGCCTGGTGGTACAACGACTGCCAACGATCCAATCTAAACGGCGTTTGGGGAAGCAAGGAGTTCGGCATGGGAGTCAACTGGCTACAGACAACAGGTCGCTATGCTTCGGCAACTTTCACTGAGATGAAAGTAAGACCGATCTAACATATGTCATGAAATAAAAGATGTCCTTAATCTTTTCTAGAATAATTTGGTTTCTTTACTCTATGTAACTTTGTCAAAAAATGTATTTTGATTGTTTTTTTCTGCAGAAAACTGCAAGTATTTTCGACCACATTTACTGCTGGAGACACCTTTTAATATATCATAAAAGAACATTTTGACGTTTTAAAATTGAGTAATCTTAATCCAAGAAAAGTTATTGTTTTACCTCAAGCTACAACAACAACAACAACAGAACACAACATTATTTTAAACAAATATATTTTTATTGAAAATCTGAGTAAAATACTGCATTTAATCCGAATCACAACGATTATATCCGTTTCCAATACATAAAAAATTAACATTGTTTCCAACACAGAACCACCAATCAAAGATGTAAAGTCTATGGCACGGGATCTCAAATTGTGGTTCGCGAGGTATTTATGAGGGGTCGCCAACTTTAGCAGACAACTTGATAAAATCCGCTTCTCTAACTTGAATATCAATGGAACTGAGAAATCAAAACGCTTATTGCGCAGTTATTCTAAGTCATGACTTGACGAAATCTTCGAATCTCAAAAGTCATTTAGAGACAAATCGTCTAGAGAACACTTAAAAATGATTTTGACTTCTTTCGTCGCAAAGAAACTTGTTGCAATCGTCAGAGACTTGATCTAACAGGAATTTTTAGCGCAATTTCCACACGGACAATTGCGATTATTAACTCGTCATTTCTGGATGGAAGGATGGATGGATGTGTGTCCGCAGCTTTAAGTGGTATCTCCTCCTCAACGAAGCAATATCGAGGACTAGTTCCAAAAGCAAATATGTTAAGCAAGTTCCAAGGATGATTGTGGGCCAAAAGAAATTCCCCGGAATTCCTTCCTGGATTTCCCGGAAAAGCCAAAAACCTCGAACAAATGCAGTTTTTGCTCCATATATCGGCAACCAGACCACTTAGCAACTTGAAATATTTACCAATCGATTCATGCCATAATTTAAACCAATATTGCCGAAGAAAGTTTTCAAAAATATCCTTTCGTTCGGTCACAATTTTTTTTTTAATATATTTTAAACTGAGCATCTTGTAGGCCTAGTTTTAATTTAAACTGAACATCGTGTAGGTTTTTAGCGCAAAGCGCTGAGGTTCGAAAGGATTTTACCATAGCGATTGAGCGGAGGTTCGAAAGGATTTTTACGTAGGTCTGTGAATTCTAAAAAATTAATTAAGGAAATTGCGCTTAAATTGTCACTAGACTTTTTATTAACTTGTTTTAGTAAGGATGGGGCAGATGAAATAGGTGAACTGTTTCTATGACCTTGCTAAATAAAGAGACAGTGTGGTCAACACTGTACCCACGCGCTTGTACTTTTCGTAACGTGGGTAGAGTTAGGAACACCCCACGGAATTAAGTACGGGATTCGAACTCGAAACTTTCGTGTTACCAATCGGTCGCCGCCCAGTTTGTTTAATTTAAAGAACATTTCGCAGATACACAAATAGGGCTTGTAAGTCTCGGCCTCTCTCGATTAAAGTTCGAGATCTCGTTAGCCAGGGAGAGGAATGTGACTAGTTTCATCATCATCATCATCACCAACATCATCATCACTCCTTTATGGCCCCTGGGGAGCAAAGGGCTGCAACCACACATCTCCAGCGGACTCGGTTTTGGGCTGCTCCTCTAATCTGTGCCCATGAGAGCCCAGCTGTTTTTGCCTCTAGTGACTAGTTTGAATTATAAAAATTATTTTTCATAGGATCTTTTTTCCAACTTTTACAAAAGTTGATCAATGTACCAGTTGTGTGGAGAACGTTTTTGCTGGCATAGTGTGGGCTGGAAGTGTAAAGTATTTACCAAGTAAGTAACAGTAAACAACCGTGTTTAAAAAAAATAATAAAATGGGATTTGGTGGGTGGAGGTCTGCTGAATTGTAACGTCATTTAAGAGAGTGTTCTAAATTCATTGTAACAATGGTGACCAATGGAAGGGGGGGGGGAGTTTAATAATACAAACATCTTTATTTTAATAAGTTTAACTATATTCTATTTTACGAGTATTTTCACGTCGCTGTGTAAACTAGCCGATGGTACCCGTTACACGTGAATTATAGACCTATATATTTTAATGTTAAACATGTCTGAGAAAAATATTTTATAAAATAGGCATTGGTCAAAACGCAATGTGCTTTACTACACGTTAAACGATAGTGACAAAACAAAGAAATAACAAAACAGCTAAAACAACTGACACATTTAAAATAAAATAGACTACCAATACCTATTAGAAAAATTAAAACCAAATTATATACATTATTAGTCAACACAACACCATATTAAATGCACTCCCTGATTAAGATACTTAAAATTAAGAGTCTCAAATGATTTCTTTAAAAACCCGGCAGTTTAATGGTAGTCATATTGTTTTTGTCTGTTAAAAACACCTTTTTCGGCTGAGCATGGGTCTGACCACACTATCGCTTCATATGCTAAGAAGATAAAAACAGGTGAACTCTACTTCACCTGCCCCGTGTCCCGCCAAGTCGCCATATGCAACTTTATCAATCACATCTAAAAAAAAATTAAAATTTTTAATATTGACGTGGTGTGTCTCGAACCCGTACCACCCACATGGTAACTATTACATTATAATCTCAGCTATTTAGGCACTTCAGCTTAGGTGCAAAATGAGCCGGGTACTTTACTTAGATTTATAGTCCACGTAACAGTTACGCGAATAGGCTCTATTATTTCAAATGACATTTTATCCCAAGTTAGCCAATTCCATAGCTAAACAAACAAAGATGTATATAAAATAATTAAGGCCTGAAATAGTTGAGTATAGAAACTCATTATTGGTGTTGTGAGTTGAGGACAGGGTCGACAAGAAACCAACACGAAGTCCGTTCACAATTCGTTACTTTTATTGCTTGTAAGATCACACAACCTAGGATGCCTATAAGAGAATGGACCCCCTAATAATCCTAACCCCACCTTTTATACCCCGCCTAACATCTAAGTTTTCTGCGCTCTATGTCACTTCCCTCCCAATCGTTCCTATGCTACAAAATGTGTGTGTACTATTTATTTACATTCTTTTATCTCAATATACTAAAATAGACTGCAGGCTAATGGAAACATGTAAACAAAAGGGACGCTACTCTAAATCTACGTAAATACTTATATGTAACAATCCTAACATACCCCCCTCCTATAAAGGCTAATAATATATCCTTAATATGTTATTAGCTAGGACATAATATACACCAATAGACAGAGACAAATCTTGTCTTCCTTCTTGAGTCAATATGGTAGCTTGTACAACTTGAGACAGCCAGGCGCTAATAGGAATAAACAAACATACCAAGCTAACAATATTCAGTCACTAAGTCATAATTCGAATGCATCTTAACTTACAATGTACCTTTTCCTTCAAAAAAAAATAATTTTATACTAACATTCATCATCTACTTATCTCAAATTTAAAACACAATAATTATTGTAATGCAAACATGTTATCAAACAATATCATCATCTTAAAACATCATATATTTACATAATACAGCATTAATTGTAAACCTTTAAATGACCCTCTCCCAGCCCCTAATATCCTCAGTTCCTAGATAACGTATCTGCAATAACATTTTGGGCCCCAGGAATATGTACAATGTCAAACCTGTAATCTTGTAAGATAAGTGCCCACCTAGTCAACCTAGCATTATGAAGTTTTTTTATTTTCTAATGCTACCAAGGGGGAGTGGTCAGTCAGTAAGGTAAAATGTGTGCCCGATAGGTACTTAGACAGCTTTGTTACGGCCCACACGATCGCCAAACATTCCTTCTCAATCGTAGCATAATTTTTTTCTGACTCGGATAGCTTCCTGCTAACGTATACAACAGGATGTAGATGGGTATCTACCTCCTGCATCAAGCAGGCACCGATACCAAAAGCAGAAGCATCCGTAGCCAAAAGAAAAGGTCTGCCTAGATCAGGTAGCCTTAGAATTGGCTGCTCCGCAAACAACGTTTTAATACTATGTAATGTATCATCACATTCCTTAGTCCACTCAATACCCTTGTACCTTCCTTTCTTTCTAGTTAACTCTGTGATTGGGTGTACCAGTGAGGCGAAATTAGGAATAAATTTCCTATAATAGTTGCACAGTCCTATCAAACTACGTACTTCTTTTAGGGATTTAGGAATTTTTATGTCTAGAATATGCTTTAACGTTTCGCCCACAGGTTTTACAGTTTGGTACGAAATCATGTGACCTAAGAATTGGATTTCTGTCATGCCAATTTCAACCTTACTGGGTCTTGCTGTTAGACCATTATTTTTTAAAGCTGTGAAAAGCGCCTGTAAACCAGTGATGTGCTCATCCCAGTTCTTAGAGAATAAACAAATATCATCAAGATAAGCTACTGTATCATTATTACTCGCTAACACCCGTCTCATTAATCTATTAAAGGTGGCCGGGGCATTAATAAGCCCAAAGCTCATAAAATTCCAATGATATAAACCAAAAGGTGTCACAAAAGCAGTAAATTTCTTAGATGATTCTTTAATCGGGATCTGCCAGTAACCTTTAGATAAATCGAACTTAGAAAAATATTTTGCCTGTGCTATTTTGATAAACAGTTCTTCCTGGTTTGGCATAGGCTCTGCGTCCGGTATTGTTACCTTATTCAACTGTCTATAATCAACACACAACCTGATCTCGTCATTTTTCTTTTTCACCAAAACGATAGGTGCAGCATATGAGGAGTCCGACGGTTCAATTATACCGGATTTTAATAAATCTTTGATTTCGGCTTGTACCCGTTCTCTATAGTGTAATGGTATATTGTAGGGTTGTAGCTCAGATTTTAGATCTAGATAGAACTCGAGTCTAGATCTAATAGATCTAAATTCTAGATTCTAGAATCTACGGCTGGCTTAAGTCTAGTTTTTCCGTAGCTCTAGACTCTACATTTAGAATCTAAATAGATAAAGTAAATTTTA